AGTGGTGTCACTAGTGTGATAGGTAATGCAAAACATATACGTTGCATACATAATTTACAAGCTAAACGACCCAAAAAATCAATTTTATCGACAATCGTTAACAATGCCCGGTGATGAAGTCACATCAATAGATAATTATAAATCAAGTAGAACTGAAGGTTTATCAGAGTGTGAAGTACGGATACTTGTTCAAGATGAATATATTCCAAACACAAAATTATTGACAATGAAAAAAAATATCGATTCAGGTTCTGGTGTACCACATTTGAAACAATCATCAGTAGAGACAACTAAAAATGTTACAGCAGCACTAGCTTCAAGTGTTCCAATAGCATCAAGATTGAAAGGAGATGATGCTGAACAACTAATAAAAGAAGCAGGCATTGCGGCAACGAATGACGATTTATTCATGAAAGGTAAAATGACACATTATTTTGAAAAAATTGTAAAATATTTCTCTTCACTACAAGTCTAGATTCATACGAAATAAATTGCGGAGTCCATAAAATTATGATCTGACGTATTAGAATGAAAAACAAAGTGTTGAATCATCAAAAATAATAAGTTGAACGATGAATAAAGACGACGGAGTTTGATAGGGACCAGAGCTGCCAGATAGCCCGCATTTTGCGGACAAATTCCGCTTTTTGTAGTTTTTTTTCGCAATTTGTCCGCTTTTCGAGGATTTTTTGGTTTTGTCCTTTTTCCTGCAATGAAGATTTTTACGTTTTCTCATAAAAACTTTGACGCCTTCAGTAGCTGAATGGTCTGCAAAACAATGCTTTTGCAACTTTTATAAAACAGATGCGCACTATTTTAAGAACTAAATCAGAAATTTGTCCCGGGAGTGAACCGATAACAGAAAAACATTAGCCTGTCGCAAGTGCGACTGAAAGAGAGTGTGAAAAATAGTGAAATACTAAATCTTCAAGAAAGTCAATTCGGTCGAAAGTTTAACCATTAAGTGCTGTCATAGGCGAAAAAGTTTTGAATTAAATTTTATCCTGCCATATATGACTCTTGAAATTTATGACGTCTGATCAAAAACGCGCATCTACAAAAAGCCAATATTGATTCAAATTGGGAGTTAAATGATGTTTTTTACTTCTGTTGTGTTTCTTAAGTGGAACCACCATAACGCGCTAGTAAAAATTTTTTTAATACGCTTTGCGTTTGGTAAAAAACGAACTAATACGGTGAATAATGCGTTTCCGCATTTTTGACTTTTTATTTTGCTTTTCTGACTTGAGCACCTGGCAGCTCTGATAGAGACCTTGTATGTCTGACTTAGAAATACCAGAAAACGATAGATGTGATTAATTTTTAGCATACAATCATATAACGGTGATTCATATCTTTCGAATGTGTCGAGTGACGATCAAAGAGAGACGGAAGATTTGGTAGTATTCAAGAAGTAAATACAAATTCTCAAGTCTTCTTTGATTCATACGATTTCGTATTGCTGCATCGATAGTTTCTTATGTTATCACGATATTAGAAAAGACTTTTAATCTTACGTGTTTTATTATTCTTTTGTTTTTTCTTTTGTTGAGAATGGGCATGGAAAAAACAACCCAATCAAAATGTACACCACCAACAACATAATCCGGACAGTTCTAAAATGCTAGTGTCAGATTTAAATGAAAAAGATGCATTAAGCAAACAAAAACGTGCAATTGTAAAAAAAATATTAATGATTCAACGAAAAAAATTTAAAGATAGTCAATTTAAGAAAAAACGTGAATTAGATACTTCAACATATAGTTTCAATGACCACAAAGATAATGATGATGATGAAAAATTAGTGGATGCTGATGATGAGTAAATCTAAATTAAAATTTTAATGCTCTTCATAAATGGTAAATAATTTATTCCATCTTTTTTTTAGAAAAGATCCAGTAAATAATGCTTGGGATTGTGCACGTACAATGGATGTTCATGAAGCATACGAAAAAACCATTCATTGTTATCGTTTGTCAATGCGTATGTTAAAAATAGCAACATATATCGCTCTAAATATTGGTGTATTATTATCAGCATTAGTCAGTAAAGGAACATTACTTTTAATGACAAATTCTATAGCAAAAGTTCAAGAGGTATATTTTAAATTTTTATTTTATATATAAATTTTAAATTATCATTATTTTATAGAGTCCCTATCGTGAAAGATGGGTGTGGATGTTATTAACAGCTGTTTGTGCACCTTATGTGTTCACATTTATCGATAGTTTTGGAAAATGTTTATTTGGTAATAAACCGTGGCCAACTGTAAAAATATTTACAATAGTATTTTTTATTGAAACACTTCACAGTTTTGGTATAGCAATATTTGTCTTTCATATTTTACCTAAAATGGATGCTGCTCGTAGTCTATTAATTATGAATGCTGTTTGTATTATACCAGCATTTTTAAAATTATTTTTAAGTAAAACGAATACAAGTATGCTGAGACGAAGTCTATTATTTATGATGGATTTTTTTGCTTTTATCATGCAATGTTCATGTGTTGGTATTGCATTGGCATCACGATTTCTAAAAATTGATTCAAATATCATGCCAAATAATAGTCATTCAAATACATTTTCAACGAGTACAGTGGATAGTAGTACACTATTATCATTCAAACGACACAAACGAGACGATATAATTGAACCATCTGGAGACTTATATAGTGATCTATCATCAACATTAGATTCATCATTATCCGTCGGAAGTAAAACATTAAATGGTACTATGAGTTCAATGGATCATAATTTAGAAACAATCTTGGCTAGTTTTCATATTGAATGGGAATTACCTGTTGCATTAATATTAGTTTCTCTAACATGGTAGGCACAATCTATGAATAATTAATATTTTCACTTGAGTATAATGTTTATAGGTGGGAAAATTTTGTTGATCGTGATATAAAGTTTGGTGGAAAAATAGTGGTGAACATGAAATTATTAAAAGAAAATATAATTGCTACAAGATCGAAAACATATTTGATAATTACATTTTGGAAAATTTTTGTAACAATTTTATTTGCTTATCTATTTCATCATGGTATATTTAATACATCGGTAGTATTTCATACAAATAAAGAACAAATGCAAGATCCATTACTATTTTCACATCAAGATCCATGGATATCATCGAGTCTATTATCAGCAGACATGTCACAATCGCCAGACGGTTTCGCTGGCATATCTTTAGGAACTGACATAGGCGGAAATCGTCTACGTCGACAAACATCACTGTTTGAACCATCATCATCAAAACACTATAATTTATTACTCGATCATTTATTTAAAAAGAATTACGCTAATCAAAACCAAATTAATCAAACTTATCAAAAACGATTTAAAAGGCAAGAAAATATTGTTAATGTAGGAGGAATAGACAATCCTTTTAATGGTGCACAAATGAATGATCCATCGATGTTACAAGATTTTAATGGTGCTCAATTATCTGCTCCACCATTACCGTATCCTGGTGAAGAAGAAACACAAGAATTAACTTATAAAGATCGTTGGTTAACATACTTAACACCAATGATATTAAAAGTAATATCCGATGCTCTATGCTTTTATATGGGTCGTTTAGCTTGTAAATTATGTATGCAACGTATATGTTTTGCATTACCTATCACACTAGTGACACCACTTGTTCTAACAATATTACTTGTATTATGTGAATTTTTTCCAAAATCAACAGTGTTCATCGATGGTTTCATCTATTGGAGTTGTTATGAAGATTTTGCCAAAGAATCGTTTAAATGGCAAGTTGTTTGTGGTAAGTGATGTAAAAAAAAAGATGAATATTGTGATATTTTTCTTTTTTTACGTTTCAGGTTTAGCATTATGGTGGCTATCAGAATTGTGGATTGGTGGTCATATATGGTTTGGAAAAAGTCAACGTTTAGCATTTACAGAACGGTATTTTTCATTAAAGAAAAATATTGTTCCCCGTAAACAAACATAAATTCTTTTGTTTTTCTAGACTCTTTGTTTCGCCACGTTATTGTGCAACACTATTAGAACAATCGTTAATGATGAATAGACGTCGTAATGAAAGAGATGAGATACCTTTGACAGTTAGCACAATCGAAGATCAAGTTAAATTTTCATCCGATGTTGATTCACAAAGTTTTGAAGAATTGACAATTGAGAAACAACTCAGTCAAGGTATTCAGACAAAAATTTACTCTTGTGCAACCATGTGGCATGAAACAGAAACAGAAATGTTACAATTATTGAAATCAATTATGAGGTAGATTATTTTTAAATCAGTTTTACACAAAAAAATGCTGAAATTCGTATGTGTTATTTTAGATTAGATATTGATCAAAGTGCTAGACGAAAAGCACAAGATGTATTTAAAATAAAAGATCCCGATTACTATGAATACGAAGGTGAGGTAATAAAGAAAAAAAAATATTCGATTACATTAATCATATTCTTATTTTAGGACATATATTTTTTGATGATGCAATGGAAGAAGATGAAAATAATGAACAAATACCCAATAAATTTGTTCAACAACTTTTAGGTGTTATTGATAGAGCAGCAACGTACGTGAGATAAACTTTATTAAATTTAATTTATCATAATATTCTCTCGATTTATTCTAGAGCTGTACATGAATGTCCAATGAAAATTCCACCACCATTCAAAACTCCAACTCCTTATGGCGGACGTTTAACATGGGTATTACCTGGAGGAAATTTTTTAATTGCACATATTAAAGATAAAACAAAAATACGTCATAAAAAACGATGGAGTCAGGTAAAAATAAATAATTTATCTTTTGAAAATGATCAAAATAAAAATAAATTTTTATGTATTCTCAGGTTATGTACATGTATTATTTATTGGGTTATCGTCTGTTTGGCGAATTAAATATTATTGAAAAATTGTATAAGAAAAAGCGAAAGAAAGACTCATCAAAAAATAAATCAAAAATATTTAAAGGATTTGGAAATTTATTAAATAATATGGACAATAAATTACGAATAAAAGTATAAATTTTTTTTTGTTTTATGGATGTAATAGATAGAAAATATTGTTTTATTATATAGGCTGAAAATACATATTTATTGGCTCTTGATGGAGATGTTGATTTTCGACCCGAAGCCGTTCGTCTACTAGTAGATAGAATGAAAAAGAACAAAAAAGTTGGTGCAGCTTGTGGACGCATTCATCCGATCGGTGATGGTAATACAAATAAGAAATTTAAATACTTTTTCCTCATAATCATTTATTATTAACGATATTTGTAGGTCCAGTTGTTTGGTATCAAAAATTTGAATATGCCATTGGACATTGGCTTCAAAAAGCAGCTGAACATATATTAGGTCTTAAATTTACATCTTGCATTAAGATTTTATTTCATCATGAAACTATTGTTATAGGTTGTGTTATGTGTAGTCCAGGATGTTTTTCATTATTTCGTGGTTCTTCACTTATGGATGATCACGTTTTAAGAACATATTGTACTAAATCATCAGAAGCAAGACATTATGTACAATATGATCAAGGTTATAATCTAAGATTTTCAATCATTATAAATTAAAATAAGCTGTTTTTAATAAAATTTCAGGAGAAGATCGATGGTTATGCACATTACTTCTACAAGAAGGATATCGTGTTGAATACTGCGCTGCAAGTGATGCTTTAACATATGCACCAGAATCATTTCATGTAAATATTCACGCTTTACAGATTTATTATAATGGAGTAATTACTATCATCCTTTATAGGAATTTTTTAATCAACGTCGACGATGGGTACCGTCCACAATAGCGAATATAATGGACTTTTTATGTGAATACAAACATATTGTACTTGTAAATGATAGTATATCTTATTTATATATTATTTATCAACTATTTCTAATGGTATCAACGGTTCTGGGACCAGCAACTGTTCTTTTGATGATCACTGGTAAAAAGAAACGGTTTAAATCAGAGCTTCATATAGAGACAATTTTTAATAAAAAACTTTTAATCTTATTCAATTTACTCTATACGGAGTTCTAATACAGATAAACTGAAACATTTATACCAGAATGTAACATTACATTTATTTTTTTGTCTATATTTTAGGAGCATTCAATGCATGTTTTGGTGCGTAAAATATACAGTAGATTTTTTATATCAATATAGGAAAATGCACGCGTTCTATTTCATTTTAGAAGTTGCTAGTAAATTAAAGGTCTTTATGTAAAATTAAATTTTCTGTTTTATTTTAAGGTACAACACTTTGGCAGTCGATGATTATGTCTGTTTTACCAGCATTTCTCTATTTAATTATTTGTTTTCATACCACAACTGATTTTCAAATTCGTGCAGCAGCATTTTTATCAGCTGTTTATGCCATTATTATGATGGCCGTTATTGTGGGTACTACGATACAAATTGCTGAAGATTCATGGACATCACCAAATGCTGTTTTTCTAATGTTATTATTTTCTATATTTTTTATTGCTGCATGTATGCATCCACAAGAATTTTGGTGTATTGTTCCTGGTTTACTCTATTTCTTGTGTATACCATCCGGTTATTTATTTTTATTAATCTATTCATTATGTAATTTAAATATTGTTTCATGGGGTACGAGAGAGGCACCGAAACAAAAAAAAAATCAAAGTAAAGAAGAAATAGAAAAAGCTCGTTTACAAGAACTTACACAAGCAAAGAAGCAATCAGCCGGATTTTTAAATCAATTATTTGTTAATTTTAATATTAAAAAATATGATGAACGTGTTCGATCATTTGCAAGAAAATGGTTAGGTGTTGATAGAAGTTCCATGAACAGTGTACTTCTACAACAAATTCTCGGTGCTGTTGAACGTCTTGAAAAAGTCAGTATTGATAAAGACATTAGTATTGTTAATACTTATTTATACGATATTTAATTTATTTAGAGTCGTCTGGAGGAGGAAATGGATGCGGTTGCCACAACCGGTTTATATCCTCCTAATGAGGAAAATGGAAATGCAATTTCAACTCTTCCAAATGATTTACTATCAGATTTAGAAACAAAATATGGTTGTACTCAAATGTTAACAACCAGTGGTCAACCATTAACACGTTTGAGTTATCCATTGGATCAACATAATCAAGAACAACAACTCATTTATCGTGGTTTAAATAAAACATCGTATGGTCAAGTAATACATCCGCATTCTTATGCAGGTATAAGTCATTCTCAGTCTGGACTATACAGTGACAACAAGCAAGTAATAAAACGTGATGAACTGGTTAATCCCGCATGGATATTTCATAAATCATTAAAAGACTCTGATATTGAATCACTTGATCCAAAAGAAATTGAGTTTTTTCAACAAGTTATTGAACGTTATCTTTATCCATTAGTAGAAGATAAAGAACATCAGAAAATTGTTGCGCGTGATTTAAAAGCACTGAGAAACAATGGATGTTTTAGTTTTTTTATGTTAAATACACTATGGATAGTTATTATATTTCATTTTCAATTAGTTCAATCAAAAATACGTAATTATGTTTATATTCCCATTAAACGATTAAATTATGAGTCATTACGATTTGAACCACTTGGATTTTTATTTCTACTCTTTTTTGCAAGTATTTTATTAGTTCAATTTATTTCCATGCTATGGCATCGTTATGGTACTCTATTACATTTATTAGCATCGACTGATTTAAAACTATGTCCACGTAAAAATGTTGATTTATCTGATAATGTTGAAGAAGCCGTTGAACAAGTGAAAGTATTACAACAATTAAAAGGTTTCAATGACGAAGATATGCCTGAACCTGACTATGATGAGGATGGTAAATATGAAGAACGATTGCCATCAGAACCAGATTTATCAACAACGGGACTCATCTATCGTTCAAAATGGAAAAATGGAGAGAATGGAGCTATGACATCAGCTACATCCCAACAATGGAGTGGTTTAACGCCCACCGATGCAAAAGTAAACGATATGCAACGTAACCTGGATACGGATCATAGTGATATGAGTCAAATGTACGGTTTTAATGGCTATACTAGCTCAGTAAAAACCTACGGATCAAACTATGAAGCGATAAAACGTCGACAACAGTCAAATAAAAAACATTTATATAATAAATCACTAGATCATGTATTCCGAAGTCGTTGGCAAGCATTATCACAAGGAAAAAATAATCAATTAAAACATAACAAACAACGCGTAAAACTAACGGATGTATTTCAACAGCAACAAATGCAAAGTGAAAGACATTCTCAGCAACAACATCGAAAAAATCGACGAACATCAAGTGAATTGACCGTAAGAAATTCTGTAAATAATGTAAATACGAATAATAATAATATCGAAAATACCCATCAACAAGAATATCAAATTGAAAACGAACTAAAACCAGAGAAAAAAATCAAAACAACGACATATTGAAAAAGTGTGATGTGTATATCTGCGTGTTTGTTCTCTGTTATTCTTGCGATTTTTGTACAAATTTTTTTCCAGATGTGTGTGTTAAAATACATATGAACAAATGTTTGACTTGGTTTATAAAAAAAGTCTTTATAGCAGATCGTTTTGAATAACACAATATATCAGGGCAGTACTTCACTTAATCAATACTAGGAAGTTTAATTTCTAAAATATTATCTAACTCATTCTCCTTAGCCGATTAAAAATATGTTCAAAATTTTATTCAAATGCAAAACTCGACCTTTGAAAGGGCTCGCTTGACAAGTACTTAAGAAAGTAATAGCATAAGTAGCATAGATACTTATCAAATCTTGAGATACTTATGATTTTTCAAAAATATTCAAGCAATTATTTGTCGAGTACAGATTTATTAAAATGTTTTTCAAATACGTAATTTTTTCCAAGTTTCCAAGCACTCAAGTACTTGATCTCCATGCACTCACTAGAGTTTTAATTGAAAATTCAATAAACAGCTTTTACTGCAATACATTTTTCTATAAAAGAGAAGGATTTCTTATTTGGAATAGAACTGAGCGACACTTTTCACTTCCATAGAGGAGTTTGACTAAATTATTACTGGTTTGTATTCTAATGTGAGTGAAAATGATTCATTCAGTTAATCTGTCGCATTTTTTCGTTTTCGGTCGTTGTTTCTAATTCCTTTTAACTCCATAAATAAAATAATAAATCCAATGAGAGACTATCTACGCCAGTTCAACTGACAGTCTTCAATTAGCTTAAAACATGCACTTACTCAAAAATAAATTTTACTTAAAAAATTAATTCAAGAAAAAACTTCGGTTACTCATCAGTTGAGTAGACTCTTTACCCTCCCACCAAAATTTCTATCGAAAATGCTGTATGTTACATTGTAATACAGCAATAAAAGTAAAAACTAAGTATGTGTCCATCATCTAGAAATTAGTTATAAACTAGGACGTTGTTATAGAGTTAAATCAAATCAATTTCTTAGTTCATATTTAACTTCAGATGCAATACGGACATGATATAATCGCATTCTTCGAAATCAACTTTCTCTTGGAGTACATATAGCACGTGGAAGTAGCCAAAGTATAGTTTTGTAAAATGATAATTTTAAGATGATCAGTGCGTCTGGACGTCAAAAAGTTCTTTATTCCATTTCCGAGACAAATGACGAAAGTACTGATGATATTTATGATTATATGCACATAAACAATGAGCTGAGTATGTCATATTATCTATTTCTACTTTTCTCCTCTATTAGTTCTCTAATATTTTGCTTTAGTAAACACATGTAAACATAAATACTGGCCCACGGTTTTTGATTCAGGTCTTATTACTCAACAAGTAAGCTCGTAAGTTGCTTTATATCAGAAAAACATAATAACAGAGAATCGAATTTATCTTTAGATAATCGAACAAGTTTTAATATTTTCTAATTCTTCTTCGATTTGTTTTTAGTGTGATATTTTTTGTTGTGATATTTATTTACTTGGATAATAAAACGTTAGAACCTGGTGATGTATTATATGGAAATGCTTTATTAATATTACTTGGACTTTGTTTCTATAGATGGCTCAATTTACCATTTGGTGTAAGATTGTGTAAGTATAGAATATTCTTGTTTAAATAATGTTTGTTAATGATGAATATTTGATTTTTGTTTTAGGGAAAGACAATTTAAAAACTCTTTCAGCTTTCATTTTGTTTGGCTTTATGGTATCACCGGTCATAGCTACATTAACAAAAACAATTAGTACAGATACAATTTATGCAATGAGTACGATTATGATGTTAGCACATTTAATATTTTATGATTACGGATGCGAAACAGCCATGTATGTGGAGTTTCTTATTACATTCCTTCCTATTATGAGTGTTAAAAAGAAAGTCGATTAATATATCAGCTTTCGAAGATCTAAAACAAATTGAAAATGAATTCTCAGTGTCACATGTATAACGAATGTAACTGACATCGTGATTATTCTCTTTATCTTCATTTAATCTCTTGAAAGTTGGCATCTTAGTCTACTTCTTTAACCATCACAAGTTTGTTTTGCTAGAAAATATTTATTCTTTCTAGGGTTCAAAAGGCACTTTCATTCAGTGCTGCATTATTCTCAGCCGTATGTCTTGCATCGAGACTGGCAACTTCATTGCATACATTTACAATGGTTTCTTGTGCAGTATTGATATTTACAGTGGGATCAGAATTACGAAAATTAGTAAAAGTATGAGTTTATGAATGGATTTTTGATTGTTTCTTTAATCATTTTTCTTCGTTTGCCATTTTAGGCTGAGAGTTTGAAAACATTTATATTTCTTACAATTATTCATGTAATTCTATGTATCATATTTTTAAGTCGTTTATCATTTATTCATTGTTTTCTCTATGGAATTAGTGTTTTACTTCTAACATTCATTTGTCCTAAATGGTTGATTTCTTTACAAAAATACAAAACGTAAGTGAATAATATAAAACATTTATTTTAAAGAAGTTCGTTTAATATTTCATAAATTGTTACTGAATACAACGTAAACAACTATTAGATGTTCGAATTTGAAATGAATTCTTTAATTTTTTTGAATAATACGAATAAAATTATTATTCAAATAATATCTATTAATAAACATTCAGTTTTTTGATAAAAAAAACAATTTTTATTCAGTTAATATAAAAATGTGTGATGATACTTTATTAAAATGAGAGAATAACATTCAGTTTTTATCTATTATCAGAAGTTTTGATAAATTCACAAAATTTTTAATTAATATATTACATCGTGAAATTATAATGTTCTCAACTTTATTATGTTTCCTGTTGATTGATGTGGTAAATTTTTACCATTAGTTAACATTTAGCTATTTTTGCACATCTGTCTACCAGGTGAGAATATATTGTTTTTTTAAAAATCATTTTATGAGGTTCTGTTACAGCATAACATTGAGATTGATCACCATATCTTTTTTATATACAATGACAGTGATGATTTATAATGTTTGCCTTTTATTTTCACTCTATATAAATATTTGATTTGCCTCATTGTATATAATGAATATTGGTGCCGCTATTATATTTAAGAATTCGATTATTCAATATATAAACTATGATTAATTGATAAATGATTGTTACCTGTTAACTCAATTATATAACAGATATAATTTAGCAATATGCAAGAATCATATGTAAAATGTATATTATCCAATTGTAAACATTTTATGACTGTCACAGACTAATAATATGAGTAGATTATGATGGTTTTATTATTTATGATGGTTTTTTTTTCTAAACATATCAATAACAAAATTATATAGACAAAACAGATGTGTTACAGTAGATAAGGTAAAATAATGATTTAAATTTATATAAAAAATTCATTATTTTTTTTCTCTAATTATTGATGATTAAAATCTATTTTTCTGTTCATATTAGAAGGATATATAGATTTTATATATGTTTTATATATTTCTAGTGTAAATTATATTCGATATGAGTAAACAAAATTGTTTGACTCTGTTAGTATAGAAATCAATCCTCAAAAAATAGTTACTACTATTTTTTTTTCTTATCATTGTTTAATATATTGATGAGATTTTTGTATAGATGATATTTGACAAACTTTTCTATAGTTATTTGACTATTGTTAAGATCAATTTTCAACTAATTTGATAATGAGGTGTACTTGAGAACAAAAACTCATTTGTATTTCAATAATCTTTTGATATAATTATATGAATGTAAATAATAAACATTACAATATTTATAAATAAGTAGATGATATCGTTTTCATCATCAATGAAAAAACATTTATCAACTGTATGTTGTTTTAACGTTAATTGGTAATTATTGTTCTAATATTCACTCATTTTCATAATAGAATAATTAACTTATAGAAAATTAACATTGAAATTTTAGTTGTTTATGAATATAATATTTATTTATATATTCGTTCATTCGACAAAATTAATCAATTTCAAATGTAAATAGAATTCATCAATTATTGATCATTGGTAGTACGTGTAACGAATTATAGAATAATATAAAATTTATTTGTGATAGAGAATATCGAAAGAATTGTGATATTTAGCACTCTTCTCAAACAATTTCATTTGATAAAAAGTTAAATGAGGATGAAACTATTAGACAGGAAATGAACAACAATATTTGTTATAAGAAAGTAAAAAAAGAAAAAAAAACACAACTTATACTAAGTGTTTTCAAAATGGAGTCATAAAATATTTCACAAAGAAATGAAATTTGTTTTGTTTAATGAGAAAAGACTATATAGTTTTTTCAAATTGAAAGGATGCTGTTTTATTGAACTATATGAAAATGAGAAACAAGTCTAAAATTCTGAAAAAAAATGAAACACACTATTTTATGATATTTTTTGAGTCATATTTTGAGTCAAATGAGTTGATAATCCTTAAATAGTAAATGATTTTATTTTAGTTCAATGCGTGGACCATGGGATGAAGCTGAAATTAGTTTAGATAAATAATATTCAATAATTTGTTGACCTTCAAACATATGTTCAAGTTTAACGCAATTAAATAACTCATGTGTTTTTGTTATTATTTTAATTTTTTTTGTTTTTTTGTAAAATTGTCTCTTATTTTTCAGTAAAACGTAAAAAACGAATTATTTTGTTTTATTTTTTGACAATTTCTAAGAAATATATACTTAATCATTCAATATCTCAACAATAAGAATAGAGTAAACATGAAACTTTCTTTGTCAATAGTAAGTCATTTCTATAGATAATTAATCAAATAAATATTATATTTGTAGATCTCTAAAATCAAAATTTTCATCTTGATCATTCATTCATTATTACCTTCAACTTTTTGATTTATTTGTGTAAAAACCAATCTATATATTAAAATAAATATCGTAGATGAACTATTGTTGTGAGCGTTATGGCTTCTAGTTTGTTGAACGATATACGTATACATGTTGAGTATATACCTTTGGGAAAAGTAGTTTTCTTTTTATTATAAAAGTGAAAGAGGATTTGTTGTTTCATCATACAATTTTATATATGCCATATACGTAGGATTGATAAAATTGATTTGTGAACATTTTCCATTGTTATCTTTTAGATAGATATTTTTTTATTATTCTATTGTACAATATTTTTATTATTATTTTCTCTCTCTGTCTCTCTCTCTCTCTCTCTCTCTCTCTTTTTATGTGATCGATTATTCATATTTATTCAAATTCAAGATCCTTTATTTATTTTATGAAAAGTAAGTAGAAATGGTTTTTTTAGTTATATTCATAAGATTGGATTATAGACATTTGTCCAAAACAATAGTTAATAAATCACCTCTAAACATGACAGACTATCTTTGTTAGTATTAGACGAATGAAACATGACAGATGTAACGATTCTTTATTCTCATAAAACATATATTTTATTGTTGTTCAGCTAATTTATTCTATAATGAATAAATTGCTTACAAATCTATCTATATTGCGTTATTTTTTCTCATTTGTTCATCTTTACTGCTGAAATGCATAATTATCGTTATTTAATACACAAGTTGCCCATCGATAGATAGACGAATGTGTATACATGTACATAGAAAGACTTATTTGTCAAATATACATATGGGAAGAAAAAACATCTAGTCTGTTTTATCTAATCAGTACGATTCTATTCACATATACATCTAGTTACATTGGTAAAGTTTTTCTCTTTCAATAAATTTTCAGTATGAGAGTTGAACATCCAAACAATACGAATTATCATAAATTAATTGAAGTACAAGAAAGTTATTCTAATTCAGCCTGATGTAATCATTAATTTTTACAAGATTCAAATAGTCTTGAGGATTCCATTAAAAAAATTCAATTAAATATGTCAACTAAATAAATTTTGTTTTATAACTGTTAAGAAAAAGCACAAACCTTAAAACTTAAACCGGCCCTTACTATGCACACAAGTCCTCGAGACCGTCTCTATGAGTCATGCGAGTTTAGTGTGGTTAAAGAAAATGATTTTGATATAACGTTAAACTCAACTTGTTTAAACTAAATAAATTTTTGTTTTACAATCGCTTTTTCGTTACAGAAATATTCAAGCTTTGACCCTGACTATGCGTGCTACTACTAGTGACGTTTGACATATATATTCTCAACTGTTTTGAGAGAAAAGTTCAAGGGGGAAAAAGCACCACTTCATGTCATTTCACCACTTCATTTCACTTCACTGCTGAAACGGTGCCCTTGGTAAGGGGGGGGGACAGAAGCATCATTTCACCACTTCCGCTTAACTTGAAGTGATTTTGGATTGATTTGACCGTTTCTGCAGTGTTTTACCTAGGTGAAGTGAGGTGAAATGAAGTGGTGCTTTTACCCCCTTGAAAAAATTACAAAAAGGCGTGTAGTAAAGACCAGTTCAAATTGTAAGGCTTGAGCGTTTCTGTAACAAAAAAAAAAGTGATTGTAAAACACAAATTTATTTAGTTTAAACAAGTTGAGTTTAAAATATCAAAATGTGTCAATAATACTTAGTTCAGTATGAAATAGAAAAGAAACATAATGATGAGATTTAACCTTGATAGACGTATTTATTTGTTAATCTACGATTATGAAAAAGGGTGTTGATAGTTTATATTTGTATTAATGAGAGAAAAAAGAGAGAAAGAGAGAGATAGAAAGTAAAATCTAACAAATTATTTAAGAGTTTTATTATTTAAAAATAGAAAAATAATTAATTCTGTTATAAATTTTCTAAAATCTGACATATGTACTCCATGAAATTGAATGATTTTGATTCTACACGATTAGTTTACATGTTATCATCTGGTACTGAATTGAAACGTTTACATAGGTATGTGGTATAAGACATTTCTTGTTCTTCACTCTATACACATAGAGCTGTGTTAGTTGATTCGCCAACATTTAATGCAAAATAAAAATAGTATATAATTATTAATTGTATGTAAGTAAATATTAATTATTATAAGTAGAAATAAGAAATAATATTCATTCAAGTCGAGTTGTTCAAGTAAATTGTATTCTACAATTAACTTTCTCTTTCTTCTATTTTCAACTTTACTAAAATCATTACAATCTTATAATTTAATCTTACAATACAAAATCAATATCTATTGTCATTACTCAACTGTCAATTGCTTAAGTATCATCGCTCAAATATTGGTTGACGAATTTTTATTTATTATATATAGCAAAGATGAAAGTGTAAAATCTGAAAAGTGTCTAAACATTTGTCTAATAATAGAATTTTTGTTGTAAAACATTTGTTCACAGATGTATGATCATCTATACTATAAATTTATTGTTTTCCCTAGATGATGACTTCTGCTGATTATGTAATTCTTAAAAAACGAGTTTAGAAAACAATATTCAATTTTTGTTTATAATATGTTATTCATCATCTTCTTTTGTATAAAAACGAACTATAGATATGTTATTCTATTGTACTGAAAATAAAAGGAAATTATCTTATATAATCAATTGTCATTGTTGAAGAGAAGATAATAAAAAATTGTAAATGTAAAACAAGATTAGACAATAACAAAATAAAAACAAAAATATTTAAACATATTAAATAAGATTATTATAAAAAAATACAAAAAGAAATTTAAAATTTATTCTCTTCATCAGTTCTTGACCACTCTTGATGAGTTTTTATTTTTATCAGAAACACATTTAATTAAAAAAATCATTCCAGTAACGTATCAGAGATTATTCTCTTTCTTTCTTTCTTCTTCTTCTTTTTGACATATCTATCTGCAGTATAGACTAATATAGAAGAAAATACATAAGATTCTTCTTATTATGCTCTTGTATACAGATAAAAATACTGCATATTTGTGTCTATCTGCCGTCTTCAATGTATTGAAAATAAAACTACAACGATTAGCAATAATTACAAATGAACGATCGTTGTGGATTATTTCACTATTCTTTCTTTTATTTATTGTTTTTTTCGCTATGAGAAATGTAGCATGTAACACATAATCAGAATTGATTAAATATGCATCAATGAAAGGTATAATAAAGAATAACACTGTCCTAATTTTTTAATATAGAGTTTTTGAAAGCATCTGTCTGCATCAGCTTGCTAAAGTAAAACACATACAATAGTTCTATTGAAATTGTGAAGATAATAGTTTAAAAACCTTTCTAAGTATTACAAAACAATGTCACATTACACCTTCAGCTTAGCGTCATTTACACCATAACACGTCAATTCATACTGCTTTAGAAATGGAAAAAAGTATCGACTGATTACATTACATTCTATAAGGTAGTTACTTTCTAATGCTTCTCCTTTTCTTCGCGCTCATCGCTGTTTAGAGCGAATAAACCTTACCTCTACAGATTAAAAAGTACTATGTTTACTACATTCGAGTATAGCTGTATGATCACGTAGTTAAAGATATTGGAGTTAGTCTTCAGCTTTCTTCAAATATGAATTGTGCCTTATAATATGTTGAGGAGGGAACTTTTCCAAGTGTCCGATCAATTTTCTCTTGCAATCTACTCAGTTATAAGTTATATTTGATGTTGATCACGAATGTGTTATCCCTTTCGAACGATGCAGCTTTTTTAGATGGATTTCTGACAAATCGACCGTTGGAGATCTACTCTAAATTCTATAATGAATAAACTTTGGTTCGTCCAGTTTGCAGATTTCGTCGAGCTACCTGTAGAGAAAATTTTTTTTGCAACTAAACAAGTTTTCGATGAACCATTAGAAAATTTACTATCTGATTTCTTGCATAAGTATAACTTCGGTGTTTTGCAGTAAATTTTCTGATGACTCACCGAAAACTTGTTTAGTTGCAAAAAAAAATTTCTCTACAGGTAGCTCGACAAAATCTGCAAACTGAACGAACCAAAGTTTATTCACCATAAAATTTAGAGTAGATCTCCAAAGATCGATTTGTCAGAAATCCATCTAAAAAAGCTGTATCGTTCGAAAGGGATAACACATTCGTGATCAACATCAAAGGTAATCTATGACTGAGTAGATTGCAAGAGAAAACTGATCGGAAAGTTTCCGCATGAATCAACTTCTAAACCGTTTATTTCTTCAAGTCATTGTCTCACATAACTGTACCTTTTCATTTTAGGTTTTTAGCCATGACTTCAATATTTTCTATTGATTTTGAAGAATGTCTCAAAGATAGTCCCTATTTTCGGTGAGTACGATTAACAAGTTGTTTTAAAAGATCAGAGAATTCTTTTCAATAGAAAAAAAATCTTTTTTCTTTTACTTGATATCTATATCTCTCCATTCTTTCTTTTTCTCTTTGCATCACAGTATCTTTCATAATCTATTTATAAGAAAAATAGATCGCTAATATATATAAACTATTATGCGTTTATGTATATACATATTAAAATAATTTCATTCTTTTTGCTAATGACATCCATAGGATGCAATGAAATCTAGTAGATAACGATAGTTGTATTACCTTTAAATTTAAGTATTCAAGAGTGTAAAAAGATTTTATTCTAAATAAATTTTACTAACAGCAATTATCTATTATCTCATATGGCGGTTGTATGGAGAAAAATACAATCATACAATAACTCTCCAGTCAAGTAAGCGCTATATTTAGTACCCCTTAAGCAAAAAGACACAAACTAATATGTCATATTTCAAACTATTTGCTTTTTCAATACATTTTTGATAACAATAGAAAAAGTCTCTATACGCATTGTTCAAGGTTCTTCTTTTGTTTATGTACTTCTTCGAAAGTGTTGATAACATTTGCGTATCATTCCATTTAATATATTCACATATCTTACATACCAGAGCTCCGTATGGACTCAAAATTCCGAGTTCAGTCCGAGTCCATGGACTCTAAAAAGATCGTTTTTTAGTGTTTTTTCTCGATTCAAGTGAATCCAAAATTTTTTTCGAATCCATTGTCTTGAAGAGTCCAATTCTGTCCATACAGAGCTCTGTTAGATACTACATCGACTTGACTCTTCATATGGATCGTGACCTTGTTTTGTTAATACATTTGAACGTTCGCTTGTCAATTATTGAATCTACTTGTGAGCGTAATCAATGTTAATAATGTGATAGATCAGACTATTTCATTAGAGCCTACATTTATAAATTTACTTTCATTTTTCATTAGCACTTTATTTTCTCTTTTAGTTCTCAATTGCGTCGTGCGACTAGGTATGTTTTGACATTCTAAATCGTTTTTTACTTAATTTAAACAATATGTAATCGTTTTTCTTTTTCTTTTAAGTCATATTGAAACACTCGAAGAACGTTTTGAACAAGTAATAAAGATAAATTATTTTAAATTTTTTTTATAATTTTAAATTTATTGTCGTTTATTTTTGTTTTTTAGATGTCTAGGACTTGTAATACTGTCATTACAACGGGCAAATCTTTTGTACAAGAATTTCAGTATACTATTTGATATTTATAAATAAATGTTTATATTCATAAAAACAATTTTCTTTTTTCTTTTCAGAAAATTTCTCAAATGTATATATGATGTACGTGAATTATTTTCATCCGATGAAATTGCATACAAAAGTTTAGCAAAATTTGGAGAATATTTACGTGAAATACAATCATTATTTTCTGTATGTACATAATTCTTTAATGAATATGAACTTACCTCTTTTTACGTATTAATTATCTATTTTTATAGGGTTTAATAGAACAAACCACTCATAGTGTATTACGCACTTTAACACGCATGATAAAAGAAGATATTAGAAAGGTGAAAGATCAAGGAAAAATGTTTGAACGTCTCAGCAATGATTATGACATAGGTAATTGAAAATAAACAGAGATTTTCTCTTTTGATTAAGACATTGACTATAAAATGAAAATGGAACATATTTTTAAAATCTAATAATTGTATCAAAAAATTTCGAATCTACTCGGATATATGATGGTTTATATGATGAACATGTTGAAAGTGAGTAAAATAATTTAGATGATATAATCTATAGTATAATTAAATTTTTTTATGTTATCATTCTAATTTTTTTGTTTAATTAAATTTTATTTTTTAGCATTGCAAAAGAATGCCGATGCATCTAAAATGAAAACATCGTTATGTGATGATACAAGTAAAATATTAATAGCTACAAGAAGTTGTTTTGGACATACATCTATTGATTATACTTATCATATAAACATATTATTTGATCAACATAAAGTGGAATTAATTGAATTATTATTATCCTATATAAATATACATAAAGCATTTTTCCATCAGGGACATGAACTTTTCTTAGACTCTGAAAAAGATTTTACTGCTATATCACAACAGGTAATTAATTTATTCTTATTTAATGTATTTTATTTTTTGATATTTTTTATTTTTTTATAATTTTAGCTTTCAAAAATGCGTCAAGAAAATGTTGTAAAACAGAAGATACTTGAGAAGAAACACGATAGTAATCAACGAAAAGTAAGTTGATGTGTTTCACTATAATTAGACTTTGTTTATATTCAATTAAATCGTAATATTACTGTCGTAGATTAGAATGAAATAGTGATGTTATAGATGATTGACGAATGGGAGAAGTCTCGACTTTTTTTTTTTTTTACTAGTTACACTGATTTGATTGACTAACAAAATATCTTAAGATAAAAGTTATGTAATATTGAAATAGAGTCGCCTCAAAATTATTAACAATAAAATCAACGATTTGTACTTCGCATTTATATTGACAGATACTTTATCTTCTCATAACTTGAAGATTCTAAAATGTTTACACTTGTAATTCTATAGCACCGTCTGTAGTTTAATGCTGCTTTTTCATTACGAGAATACTTCAACAAATGATCACTTGTCTTTTCTTAGAATATATTTAATTATAGTTCAGTGTCAATGCTAATTATGATTCTGATATTCGTTTCCAACAGATCGAAGTCCTAATGAATAATGATACACTTTCAACCGAACACATACTTATATAAGCACATCGAGTGCCCATATAGACAAGTGTTCGAGATTCAGTTTCTTTAGGATTATTAAACTTTCACTGACATAAAATCTTGTCTGGATGAGTAACTCAATGTGCTCAACAATCTGGGAATTATTAGCACGTGTTTAGTTCAAAGTTTGTCATTATTCACTAGGATTCTGGTTTTTATAGAGATCTGTTAAAAAAGAATATCGGATTTATGATCAGCATCGACACTTCACTGTAATTAAGTATGTTTTGAAAAAAAATTAACTAATCATTTAGTGACGTAGCCCTGTGAGATGTGAAAATAATTACTAATATATTTTCTAATGATATTTAGTCATAAAAATATTTTAACTGTAATATCTAATATAATTTTGTTATCATGTATGTTTTCTCCCTTTTCTCTCTGTCTACATTATTTAGTCAATAACTTATTTTGATTTGGTAATAACTTGTATAAGTACGATAAATATAATAAATTAATTAGATCTATCATATGCGTATAAATTAGTTGCTCTTGTATTCTAATGGTACAACAGAAGAGACTTAATTGAATTCGACATCAAATAAATTATCATTTAAACTATTGTTTCCCAAAGTATCAGTAAAAAATATTGAGAGAAGAACAAGTATTAAAAATCGAACAAAAATATTTTGGATAAAAATGAATGAAAAAAGTTAGTTTAATACGTATTACGAAATTATTTAAAAGTTAAAAGAATTACTCTTGGTGAATTACTTTTGATAGCTAAATGAAATGAAACATGGTTAAATCAATATTCGTTAGTTTAGCAGAACAATTACACACAGTTTTCACATCAGTAACTTAAATACAATATAGACAAAAACAACATATTATTTTATTTAGCAACAGCCGCCATCTGATTTAACATCAACAAGTTCCAATACCATACAAACAAATAATCGAAACACACTTTCAACAATAAAAGTTCGAACAAAATCAATTATTCACAAATCAAAATTTTCTATTGATATTAATCAGGTGAATTTTAAATATAGAAGTTACAACAGGAAGAGCATGGAAACATTTGTTTTTTGCTTATAATGACAAATGGTGAATGTACAGATAAGAGATAATCTATTTGTGCGCATGAGTGAATGTCAGAAATAAGTAAAACATTGTTGTTAAATATCAACGACGTTATTCTGTGTATGATTTCTTAAACTTTTTTTATTTTATACTATTTTTCTTCTCTCATTTTAGTGTAATTTGGATGATACAGATAATATTGTTAATAGCGGTGCTCTACTATCAGTGGTAAAATAGCGTTAAAAAAGAAATTAACATTTTCTTTATATTTGCACATATTTTAAATGCTTAAAATCACACGATATTACCTGGAGAATTCTAGATTACTCTTTGTAATTGATAAATTAATTCAAGAGAATACTCACCTTTTGAAACATACTCTATCCAAAACACTTCAACAAAATATGTTATTGGACGTCAGAAAATAAGATGTCGTTGATGTGAAAGAGGATCCAGGATTGTTTTGAAATTAAAAGAATTCTTTTGAGAATGCCATTGTTCATACTTTGCTAGATTGTTTTTCCTGCATGCTCATAAGCTTTTCTTAATTGCACGAATAAAAAGATTTATTAAAGAGTGTGAGTTTTGTTACTGACCATTTGCATGTTTTTTTTTTTTAGTATTGAAAGTTTCTATGTAATAAGCACAGGTATTTTTGCATGAAAGTATATCAAGCTAAACGAATATTTTCTTGCTCTGTTTTTCTGTAGTGTAGATTAATTAGTATTATGTTATTATTTTAGACAGAATAAATTTAAAATTATTTATAATTTTTAGGGAAGTGAAATACCAAGAAATTTGTCTCATCAAAGTTTAAACAATTTACCGTCAACAGCGAATGTAACAGTATCTGGAGGTGATAGCGGAAAAGAAGGATACTTATTTAAACGTTCACATAACAAATTTAAAACATGGAGCAGGTAGGTTTCATTTATCATCTTTCATTCTTTTCAAACTAAATTGTTGCTTCTACAAAATCTTTGTATTTATTTAGACGATGGTTTTTAATAAAAAATGGACAATTATTATACATGAGACGTAGTGCATCGAAAGATACTGAAAATGAACAGTCTATTATGGTACCAGATCTTCGAATTTGTACCGTAAGACTAGTGACAGATAACGATAGACGATTCGTATTTGAAATACTTTCGCCTAATGGGTAAAATCTTTAGACAAAAAACTTAATTGTAGTGCTTATTTGTATTTATCTTTATGTTTAGCTCACATTTATTACAAGCAGATTCCCAAACTGAGTGTGATCAATGGATCAATTCACTTCAATTGGCAATAACAGATTCATTCAAATCATTACCGCTAAATGGAAATGATACATTAACAGTAACGATTTCTTTTCATAATTTTATTCCTTGCTACTCTTCTGAATATTTACTTCAAGAACGACTTTCAATCGATTAAATATGATTGTAGTATCTTTGTTGTCTTTAGACAACTCTCAAGACATCATATGAAGACAATTCAAGTGCAATTTTACAAGCAAAAATGGAATTGAAGCAAAAAATGTTTGTTAACTATAGAGATTTCCCCTTTTAAAGTTAAATTATTCTTTATCCATATGTTTTAGGATAAAAGAGAAAATTGAATATGTACGTAAAATGCCTGGGAATGACGTATGCTGTGATTGTGATGCAGAAAATCCAGAATGGGCTAGTATCAATATTGGAATTATTCTTTGTTTACAATGTTGTGGAGCACACAGGTATGGACATTCTTAGTTATGTTTCTATACACTATCTTTTCTCGTATTGATTGTAGAGGATTAGGTGTTAGTTTATCTAAAGTACGTTCACTTCATATGGACTCATGGGACTTGGAAACGTTATTAGTCATGTCAGAATTGGGCAATACCATTGTGAACAGTATTTATGAAGCAAATATGAATGGTGTAAGAAAACCAAATGCAGAAAGTGACGCGTAAATATTACTTTATTCCTTTTATCTACAGGTAATAAAAATCACTTGTATCTCTCTCTGTTCAAGTGCCATTCGACGTTCATTTATTGAATCAAAATATGTTCAAAAAACTTATTTAAGACCATTACCAAGTTACAATCAAATACAACAGCAAACACGTTTACAAACTTATTCGTCATTAAATAATAATTCATCTGCAATCAAACGATGGTCAGTCAAAATCAAAGGCGAAAATCTTCGTCATTCATTAACATTTTCTTACAATCTTCTATTTGTCTCTATTTTGACGAATTATGACCAAAACTCACGATAAAATTTTATTTTAAGGTGTAATCCATATTCGTCACACGTTGAAACAGGTATGTTATAATAGAAAAATAACTATTAGCGTTTGTTACTTAGTGAAGTTCCAAATACAAGAGACAAAATTTCTTTCACTAGGTTCTTTTACTGACGAAGTTTTGCGTCAGATTGAATTAGAGCATAATGGTGTAAAAGGTAACCCGATATACACTTCCTCAGATGTTCTACATATTTCTGTTGCTTTTGCCATCATTTTTCGCCTTTAGACTCTCTCGTTTAGTAGTTGTAGTTATATGCATGAAATTGTTGTTACTTAGATTAATGAAAAAGTGACGAACGCGATACTAATAGACTAAACATGTTTTCTTAGTTTCTTCTAGTATTTTTAATTTCTTCTATGCTTTAGAAAATGTTCATCCGATCACTAATCATTCATCATGTTGGGACCCAAATATTTATTTATACGAAGGGGCCAAACAGCGAAATGTGACAATTATGTTACATGCTTTAGCTCTTGGAGCTGATAAAAATTACATTCATCCATTTGATAATAATCGTACACCACTTATACAAGCAATCGAGAGTGTAAGTTTTCCATAGATTAACGAATAATCATACATCTTTCAAAGTGTTTTATTTTCAGAGATCTGTGCCAGCTGCCGAATTTCTTCTTGTGAATAATGCTAAAGTAAATTTAGCCGATAGAGATGGCAAAACACCGCTTCATTTTGCGACAATGTTGGCCAATATAGGACGAGGGTACGTTATTCTTTCGTATTTTAACTGTATGATACATCTCGTTCTTACTTTTAGACCGATCATTTTGCTGCTAAAAAGAGGAGCTGATCCGTTGTTGAAAGATAACAGTGGCATCGATTCCTGCGCTGCATCGATGGAGATTGGAGATCCTGATGTGATAACATGGTTGGTTGTTGAACTTTATCTTAGAAAGAAAACAATATTCTAACGCTGAGTTCTGCTTTTTGTCGTTTTCAGGTACCGTTTAATATCTTTGCACAAACAAGAGCTTGAAGAAGATCCAGATGCTGAAAAAAGTTATATATCGATATTAGATGATCCTGTTTATATGAAAGAGATTGCTCGTTCACCGTCTGTTTCTGCTGAAGATAGATGATAATGAAAGTTGTTTTAATTTGATTTCGTCTGTGATATACACTGTGCATATCTCGCCGAGCATATTACTGACTTGTTAATTGAGCCACGTTATTTTTATAATCTGCATATATATGCACACACACATTAAAAAAAATTTCAGTTTTTGATACACACATAGACCGATTCCAATTGTAATGATGATGTCATTTGACAAGAAATGATGTATATAAATATGGAGATTCTATTCGCCTAGTTTAACGGTGCATTAGTCTTTGCTTGTTATGTGTTTAAAACTATACGTCATTTGTTTCTTACTGCCTGCATTTTTTTGTTTGCTATTTCCTATTTGTTCTGAATTCTGATTTATCAAATAAATTATCTAGTCTTTTCTTGTTGAAACAAGTCAACCGAAGGACTCAAGAAGGATAAATGGGCACAATCATTTTCTGTGTAATGCAATATTGTCTCTCAATCTTTCATAGTGTCACTTGAGCTAAAATTAGCAGATCTTCCGTATGAAAATGGATATCTCTACTATACTCAATGTGACATGTAAGACCTTTAAAAATAAGCGTCACATTTTGTTCACGAGCCATAACAGGCTCTAATTTTACTATTATATAATATATAATATATTAGTCTTGGATGTTCACTGCATTTTGAGTATCACTGTTAACGATCTTCATACGGGATATGCGTAGAGCCGCATGCATTCGAAATTAGACATCTATAGAAACGCGCTAATTTATGACCCTTCCCCAAAACTTCCATTCCTCTCTAATAATCAATACAAAAAAAAACTATCTACTATTCTCTTTTTCTCGAACCAGCTCTTTGTCAACAAGTCTCTCCGCGTTCAGCCCAGTTTAATGCCTCAAAATATTTCCAGTTAAGTTCATATGAAACTCTCCTCTGTAGTGACAGAAGAGAATGTGATTACTCGAAACATGTAAAACTTCTCAATCTAATATACGAATATCGATCATACCCCTGACCAAATCCAAATGGAAAAAACTGTTGAGTTACTGAAATTCTTTTTGATTCCGACATTTCATTGAAATACCAGAATTTCAGAAGAAAACAGGTTTTTAGAGCGTTTAGAAGATTTGTTAAAAATCCTCCAGAAGCCTGTGATATTGTCACAAATAGTATGGATTCTAAAACTAGGTACCTAACTGAGTACTCACCGAGTAACAGTAGTCAAAAACTGTTAGTAAAACTAATATGAGTACTGATAGACGCATTCTGAGTAAAGTGATACTAATCGTATAAGCACTTTCACTGGGATAGCATACGACACACGTTTTCGGGCTCTTAATAAAACTACCATAACTTTTCATCAAAGCATCGCTCGCTGCTGGGAGACGTCTCATTTTAACCACAAATGTTTCCTCTACGAATTGGAGTCACTCAAATTCTTTTTGATTTCAACATTTCGTTGAAATACCAGAATTTCAGAAGAAAACAAGCTTTTAGAACGTTTAGAAGATTTGTTAAAAATCCTCGAGAAGCCTGTGATTGTCACAAATAGTATGGATTCTAAAACTAGGTACCTTCGGCTCTTTAATCATGTGCTTAGCTTAATACGGACCGTTGGTGGCAAAATCTTTATTTCTGACCTAGGCCTTAAAAAAATACTGTTTTGTCTCCACACCCAAACAAACACCAGACCACGTTAAGTACATGAATTACTAACTGACTGATTGCTTCGATCTGATCTAAAATGACTTCAAACTCAAGACGTCTTTTGTGCATTTTTTATACTCTCTTGAACCTTTTTCGTTGCAACGAATTCGTTGTTGACGACGTTTATAGCAAAAAACAAACTATACAAGACACTTGATAATCCCATTGTGTGGACAATTAACTGAGCAATAAACGCTCTTTACCTATCCAAACGTAAGTAAACACGATAGAGATTTTTTTTCTGCTATACGAAATGTCAACAATTTTTAACGTTGTTATTTTATAGAATAAATTTGTTATTATGATGTTGAATATCTCTCAAGATCCACCACTGTGAATGACTATTACTATTTGAGTCATTAATTGTGAGTACAACAATCTTCCATCGTACATTCCTCTGTAGACTAATTACTATGTTCCATTTTCTCATACAGTTCAAATATAAGGTGTAAAACAGAAAGATACTTTCCAACAATGACATTGTCGCCTTGTACAATAGTATGAGAACCCGATACTTTTTTTCTATTTCTATATCAATCAAGCAGCACAAACTGAAATAAAAACACACTTCTCTAAATATAGTGTAATTACACTGAGAGAACATTTTTGAAATACTTTTTGCGTTTCATGTAGTTTGTTTAACAATCATTAGAGGTTTTATATGTGAAACGTAAAAGTAGCAACGACAACAAAGACATAACGACTAGTTGTCTGTGTTTTAGAACTGCCACTCTGACCATCATGACAACCTTAATTATATTCAAGAGTCCTGAACAAGAGGATATACCACCTCGAGACTGGGGAACTGGAAGACGTCGAGAAAAACAACCTGACACAACATTCCAACGATCAGGCACATTTTTATACACGTATATACGTCCTGGTACAAGGTCTCATCCCTCTGCTTCATGAAACTATTCATTTAGAGGTGACCCCATCACACAAACCTATCGAAATACCGACTTAGGACTTAGTAATGTGAGAATCAATGATGAATTGTGAGTAGAGAGAAGTCACTTTCCAATCAAGACACTATTCAGAACAAGTCTTACTATGCGTAACAGAGTACAGGAGTTTGTTTTCTTTCAAGAGTGCCAGCACCGTTACACAACACAGACACATCTCTGGATCAAATCAATAAATTATTTCCATCAAACCACCCATTCACGTCACATATCAGTGAAAAAGCACTATTTCCAAATCCGGTTAGAAATGATGAAAATCCAAACAGTCCAATAACACCAACGTCAGCCACGCAAGTTGAACCGTATATTGTCACACACAAAACTTATGGTGAGTTGTTCTCTCTGTGGAACTAATACTGCATATCGTTGTTCGGCTATCTTGCGTCTATTAAGCATGTGTACAAACATATACTTTCGTCTTGCGAAGGAATAATAGATGTTTCATTTACATACTCAACCGAATAAGAAGAGAGAAAACATATGTTACATATGGCACTGAACATGCTCTTTACACTTAACATAGTCGAAAATACAGGTGCATCATCAGAGGAAAATAATGCGCTCTGCATTTATACGAAGCTCAATATTATTTCTCGATATCATATTTCTCAGCTGTTGCTCTTCGTCAAAGGCACAAGGTCTTGATTTCGAAGATCTTTTGATCGAAACTTTTACAACAAGTAGAATACTAGGTCCATATGACACAAGACTGGGAGCGTTTCTGCACATCACTGTTTAAAAGCTTCAGCTTACCACCTTTTGTGCGTAGCGAATACTTTCGTTTACGGTGTTTTCATAAAATCTATAACGGAATGAGTTCTTTATTCGGTCGCACCTTGATATCTCATTCTTCTACGCGCTAGTCTCCTAGACTAAATCACGATAAACGTGCCATAGTCTCATTTTTTACCTTGAAATTGTCTGTGGGGTCTTTCTTTGACAAAACACTAAATTGTGGAACAAACTTCCTTCCCCTCTTGTCCTCGTACTATCTCTCAATACCTTCAGAAAACTTCTCAATAGAGGTGTGTAGGGTACGAGCTTTTTTGTACCCTGTACCCTACCCTATTAGCTTTCGCACCCTGCCTCATCCTACTCTGTTCACTTTAGACAGTTTGCATTCTACACCCTACCCTACACCTACACCTACTCTCTAAAAGCAAAAGGTACTCTACGAACCTAAAAAAGGTTTAAACTTTTGTCACCATCTATATACCTTTTTAAGATTTCGTACAGCACCGTAAATCCGTCACTGGGAAAAACTTGCATGGGCAGTGTCCTCTCAGTCGATCTAAGCTTTACCCAGTCACGGATTTAGGGTGCTGGCGAGGTATATAGTTTCTACGAAACCTTAAAAAGGTTTATAGATGGTGACAAATGTTTAAACCTTTTCTAGGTTCGATAGATTACCTTTAGTTTTTAGAGAGTACACATCAGAAAGTAGGAGTAAATAGGGATCATCCGTTCAGCGATCGACGTTCGTTTTTCTCGCTACATTTTTATACAAAAACATCCACATCCAATAACAACAGGCATAGATCTTCTCTGCTGGATAACGAAGTCATGCACCACTTAAGGAGCGAATGTCTGTCAATACTAAGCGTTCTTCACCTCATACAGTACAGTCTATGACAAACGTCTCAACCTGTGCCCTACCCTATAAAAATGTTTCGTACCCTTAACCTACCCTACCCTATAAAGTCTGCATCCTACCCTAAACTACGCTTATAGGACAGGGTAGGGTAGGGTAGGATCCTGCACATCTCTACTTCTCAACCAGCATTTAAAACTTCTTTCACTCATTCTGACATATTTGTGGTTATGTTATTATCTTTATACGGTGTTACGGGGCTTCTCTTTTTAAGCTCAAAAGATTTTTTGTTCGTATTAGACTTTTGTACTAGCATTGTCAAGTAGAAGTGAATAAACAATATTCTGATAAAGACTGTATAGACGATGAGAAGCTAAGGAAATTCCGCGAAACTCACGATACGACTGTCAATCAAATTACTCCTGAGGTTTTTGCTAACAATTCCAGTTTCAAAGTCAAGCATCGATTTTTTTCAATCGTACGTCACTTTTTCTTTCTTTCCTATTTTTCAAAACGTTGCTCGTCTCACTAGCAGATTTTGTTCTCTTTCACATTGTTATATTTTTTTCAAATCAAATGTTTAATCAAGAGAAAAAACAACTTAAATCTAAGCAGCAGAATAGACGCGGAGATGGAAGAAAAGAAATTTTTTAAATTAGTGGTCTTTATCAAAATAGAAACAAGCACAAATATGTTTGATCGATGTGTACTCTTATTTTCTTCTATTGAACGTAATCGGATTGAAAGCATAAAGTTTTTTGTTTACTTGCAGGAAATCCTTACCGACGAGAAATACATTTTCCCGGTATTAAACAACGATTAAGGTGGCCAGATAAACACTACATGCAGGTAAGATTTCTCACGTTGATAAATAGTTCCAGTTAACTTGGAGCTGAAATAGACTAGGTTCAGTGGAAAAATGTTAGGCGATTTGCTGCTTTCTAATGAAACTCCAAACAAAATTTTATTGATTTTCCTCTTCTTTCACAGCTTCCACGATCTTCACAGATTTCACGATCAAAAAGTGATGCTAGTTCATCCTCAAATTATCCGTCGCCAACGAAGATGTTTGCACCCAATTCTGATCTGTGGCCCGTTACTCAGCCGCTTACACCAGATACCATCAATACATTGAAGAATAAAGACGTCTCGTTACTTGAGTCAACATATACTGCCGATTATTCATCAGATGGTCTAGGATCACATATTATTTATAAATCGGATAATTTAAATGATAGAGAACACGGACTTTCAAGAGCGGGTGGAACAAAAATGGTAAATGATATGATAACTCTCAAGTTTCCTGTTATCGATGTCGGGACGTTTTTCAGATGCCACATTTTGAAAGAGTTTTGGACCCAGCTCGTCCACTCGAGGGTATGCAGTCTCTTCACCTGCACGGTCAACAACCACAAATGTATTACACCCCAGAACTGAAAACATGGTTCGTCATACAGTGACTAACGTGTTTGTTCTCTTCTCTGTTATTTGATTCTATTACAGGACATTAAGTGAAGATGAAAAGCAGGATCATCAGCTACGTTATGGAAAAGATTATACAAATCTACCGGCCGATTCATTTCCAACAGATCGTGCACCAATTTACACGCGTATGTAAACGGAGAGAAACCCACAGTGTAAAATGAGCTATCTTTGAAAGCCTCAAGACTTCAAATAGATTAGAGAAACTTCATTGTATGCTTGCTAAAAATCTTCTATTCGAAAATGTACCTGTCCGTGCACGGATCCCGTATTAGGAATGAATACTCCATATTCTTTAGCAAGAGAAGAAAGCAACGATCAACCGAAAGCTCATGGTGAAATACGTTATTTACACTTAAAACGTCCACAATCCGCACAAATGCCTAGTCAAATACTGCAATTTCGTCGCAATCAAGATCAACAAATGGAGGCATCAAGTCGATATCGTGAGTTAGAGGCGATTAAACCAGCCGATAATATTACTCTCCTCAATTTGAAATTGAGAGCGCTACAGCACCCGAGGCATGCACGACCAATATTACCTCAATATCGAGATGATCATGTTAAAACATTTTATTCTCATGTGGGGACATATGTGCAAGAACGCAATGGCCTGTATCATACTAGCTATAATCCAAGTCTTCTTAAACAACAAATCCCTGAATTAAATGAATACAGTGGAAATGAAAATCCGCATGGTGAGACGTCGGTAGATAATTTGTGTTCACCTGAGCAAAATCAGAATCTGAGTCCAAGATATTTACTCGATGCTGGGGAGGCAACGCAAGAACGTCAGAAACCGAAGTTATTTCAAGATAAAGTCTTTCGCGACTATCGCATGATGAGAGTGAGTTATTTCTACTTTTTCATTAAAACTGTCTGTTGACATTCAGTATGCTTTGTTTAGAACCATCTCACTGATAAACTACATGCGCCCATTGATGCAGGATGTGTTGATGCTCTTACACAAGAAAAAAATTTTATTCATCGTCAATCGACGTACGCTCAAGCGTACAATACAAGAAAATATCTTCAAGAAAATGTATTGAGTGCTAATGCGCGTGCGGAACCATCTCGTTTAATAAGCACATCAAATCAAGATTTGAATAGAGTGCGGTACGACAGTGCTTTTCCATTATCAGATGCTGAATTGAAATATCAAGATACTGCCTTGCCTCACCCATCTCAACGTCCGACAACGTCATACGATTGTTCTCAATCTCAACGCCACGTTCCAGATAACTTTCAAGTTTCGCATCCACTTTCACGTTCAGCCACGTTTTCTCATTTTATGCCATCGCACCAGCTAAATGAAAATTATCGCATGCCGAGAAATCGCGAATTAATCCAAAATGAAGCAACAATTGTCGGTCCGTTATTACCACCAGCGCCTTACGAAGAGTTGTATTCATCAAATCATATAAACGAGCAAACCGACGGCTATTCAAAACGATCAGTACCAAGAGTTTACGATTCGCCTTTCAAATATGATGATGAAAACATTCAGTATAAAGTGTTTGGACCACCACTATCATCCACAGACAAAGCATCAACCACCACCACCTACGTTCCTACAGCACAACAGTCAAAATCGACAAAGACAGTTATTCAACTACCCGGCAATGAGATAGTGTCACGTTTCGTTGAACCGTACGAAAATCCACAAACAACATATCAACACTCGTATAAAGATCTTGTATATCATGAGAAATTACCAACACAAAGTCCTTACACTTGCAGTTCAAATGATATCGAACGTATGCTAAAAGGTCACCGCCTATCCGTTAAAGATGGTGATATTCGATTTGGGCGTATGTCAGACGGCAGAGTGAAGCAATGGAGATTGATCGATTTACAAGATCAATGGACAAAAACAAACGCACAACGAGAATATCATGAATTGCATCCAGAAAGTGTGCCGTATGTTGGAGAGAGCACAATAATTGGAAAAAAAGCGGTTGCTTTAGCTGACTCACGCGCGAAAAAGCCATTTGTCGCTGTAATGTGAGAGAAGAAAAATCATGAATGAAAACCTTTATATCATTTCAAAAGAATTGATCTTTTTCTAATGTCATTTTTACCTAACAGCAGAATTTTGTTAAAGCAAACAAATATAGGTCTACATTACTAGAATTGCATTACACAGGTTCAGTTAATCTTAGAGATGATTATCTAAACGGGAAATGTCTACTAATGGAAAAGTTGTCGACTAAATCATTTCCATGAAATAAACTGAAAGTTCAAAGGTACTTTTAGTGCATCGAAAGCCATCCACTGATAGGACGCTTTGATCGAGAAGTTGTTATTGAGAACATACACAACATGTTCTTATCAATAACGGTAAACGAGACCATTGTTCGAAATGTAATAGCGATGTATTTTAAATAATGTGTCGTTGCGCTTGTTGAGTTCGCATTTGTCTGTCTAAAACTTTCGTTTGTAATAGGTGATAGTAGTAGTAGTAGTTGAGGATAATTCTTAAACGGAAGAGCATCAGAAAACAATGCGTTAGAGAAAATCTGTTCTTGTGCCTAGAGTTCGAAGTGGTAAGACATCTCTAGAGAGTATGGTGACTGTTTTATCGTTTGTTTTATCGTCAGCAATCGATTCCAATAGTAAAACGATGATAAAGAAAAGATAAGCAGATGCAACCAATCATCAAACAGCATATTTGGTGGTAATTTGTAAATATATTTGAGTATTAATATGGTGGGAAAAGTGATAAGAATTGAATGTAACGGATAAAAATCAGAACCAAGTGATTCTTCATTAATTTTAGATTCCCTTTTCCTTCTATTCAAGCTCTCTAAGCAATAGATCAACTATTCTATCGTTTTAATAACCTAACTAATCTTCATTTCTGGTAGCTCTAAGTGTGACTAACTCAAAATGCATTCAGATTGCTTCAGCACGTAGATAACATGATAATACAGGGTGGCACATAACCTTTGCCTCCCCGTCTATAACCTAAAGTATCAATGATATCACAAATGTGTTTTATATCAAACTAAAGCGCGTCAAAAACTGGATTTATTGGTACTAAATACTAAAGGTTATGAAGGCCTTTTAATGTCGAGCTCTACAAAACTGTATGTATCAGAAAAATTTTGAGCCATCTTTTTTGAAATAAAAAAATTCAAAAACCGGTTGGAAAATCGCAAAAAATGTTAAAAAAACTCATTTTTTCCTGTGGAAGAAGACACTCGATTTTTCAATAAAATTAGCTTCTCTCATTATTTTTTGCAACCTCACACGTTACGAAGTCTACTTAATACATGCAGTTTTTTACGCGGCATGAAAGGAGTGTATTTCGAAACGTGTGAGGTAGAAAAAAATAATGAGAGAAGCTAATTTTATTGAAAAATCGAGTGTCTTCTTCCACAGGAAAAAATGAGTTTTTTTAACATTTTTTGCGATTTTCCAACTGGTTTTTGAATTTTTTTATTTCAAAAAAGATGACTCAAAATTTTTCTGATACATACAGTTTTGTAGAGCTCGTTGACTCTATCGAATCATGTAAAAACTTCCAAGAAAACCGTTTTACTTCATTTTTGAATTACTGGCATCTTAATTTTCTACGCCAAAAAAGTATAGAATTTCTGAAAATTTCGTAAGTTCGACATTGAAAGGCCTTCATAACCTTTAGTATTTAGTACCAATAAATCCAGTTTTTGACGCGCTTTAGTTTGATATAAAATACATTTGTGATATCATTGATACTTTAGGTTATAGACGGGGAGGCAAAGGTTATGTGCCACCCTGTAGAATGTCTAATAGAAAATTTCATGTGTTTCATCTGAAGGTTTTTTCTGGAAAACTGTTAACCCAAGGTAAAAAGGCCATCAGTCTTTTGTTTTTCTATGTTAGATTGTTGACTGATCTATATATCTATACATGTGATTCATATTAGTCAGTTAGTAAAATGTAAGGTGGATAAACGGTTTCTCTAATTCTATTTCTTCATTTTCAAGACTGTGTATCAGGAAAAAGAAAGGATTCATTAATTGCTATTATATAACGGGTATTACAGAAAGAATGGCGTAGTTTTTATTTTCAGTTTTTTCCTTTCTCTTTGAACACACAGAGCTTATCTTATTACCAAGAGATTCCCCATTCATTTCTCTACAAAATGGTGTATAGAAGGTGACCCTAAGGTTTGAGGCGCTGTCTTAAGGGTACCATCCCTCTCCCTCTTTTTTGCAGAAAAGTTACCATTTGGGCTGAACATAGTCTAATTTAGAGGAAAGTCTGGACTATAAAATGAGACCACTCCCGGCTCTCCATGACTTTCCTTGAAAAAATTATGAAGTTTTTCATTTTTTCCTTCAAAGCCTAGAAAATCTCAATTTTTTAGGTTCGTAAATTTTCTCTCCTTTCCTATATATTCAAATTTTTTCTTATACATAGCATGATAGAAGAAAGTGTGCTCTTCGAAATGAGATGTTTTCCAGAATTTTCCGATGAGTTTTCTTAGAGATATAAGCATAGCCGCAAATGACCCTAAAAACGGACCCTGTGTACAATATGTGTAAGAACAGACCCTGTGTAAAAAAACATACAAACCGATTAGCTATAAGGTGGATTTTCTATCGTTATTTCTGTGTTTCAGTAATGATTTTTGAAAAAGTCTCCTGGCCGTTTTTTCAGCTTTTTCAACCTGTATTTTGGGGTTATTTGTAAAATGAATATTGCTCAGACAAAACTGAACCAATCAGGCTCATTCTTGTGTCATTTTGAAGATAAATGTTTGTTCTACTCGACTCGCGTGCGAAACGCTTGATGTAACTTTTCTGAATAGTGGAGATGTTGAAATTAGTCCATTTTATTCAGTAATGGCTGGCAGTTATTAACTAGTCATTTTTACACATCTGACCGCGGGAGCCGGACAGCTGCTCGGGAACACTTGCTCGCTGAAGAAAATTTTGTGAATTTTGCGTTAAAAAAGGCAGAATAAATTGTGGGAATTAATTGACAACAAGTCCTCATAATATTTTAAAATAATAAATATCCGTGTTCTGTACGATTGAATAATTGAAGCACGATAGTCAACGAAAAACAAGAAAGAGAAACTTCATAACAATAGCAAACGTATTCTTGTTTTCTCGTTAGTTTTGCTGCTATGGGACCTACTGTAGGTTCACTGCTTGCTTTCGAATAGATTCTGTCGGGTATATTCGACTGAAAGCGGTCAGAAGGGTCGAAATCATCGAAAATAGTCAACATTTGTCAAATTAAACTAGATATAACTTAGTTCCAATTAAATGTACATATATTACTAGTGTCTCACAGTCAGGCTTTATGTTTTTCTGATTGCATCTCAAAATGTGTTTACTTTTGTGAGTGATCTTGTGATAATAGACCAGTATTGTATTCATCTGGCGTAAACGTTTGAATAGTCTCAATCGATACAGGAGACAATTGTGCATAATTTATGCTAAGGAATCGTCTAATTATAACTTAATATACGAATAGAAAATGAGAATCACTTTTATACGTAAATCCCGTGTGTTTTGCACGGACTGCTCTATTATTCCACTCATTTACACGTACTACACTAATTCCCCACGTGCGGGGAATTGGAAAACAAAAACATTTTACCAGCTGCTTTTTGAATAGAGCCAGTTCCGTCAAATATTATCCGTTTACGATCTAATCCATATCAGGCGATAGAGCTGAATATCCTCTTCAGATTAATCTGAAACACACATCCAAGTAGTAGAAATTCAATGTTCATTCTAAGCTAATTATTAAATCTTCGATAATTTTTTCTCTGCAGTAACGATATTGAACGTGCTTATTATCTGCGATCAGGCTCTTAACCGAGTTCAGTTTGGCGAATTATTCTTGCAAATGGTTTAAAGTTTACCTGTTGACACTGGGGAAACATTAGATGAGAAAGCTTTTCATTTTTATCCATAAAACATCTGAAGAATTAGATTTCTAAAGATACCTGTTTCTGGCAGTCACCTCAACGAGAATTACAGAGTCACCCTATAGCTCTATACACGCGATTACAGAATCACCCCGCATGGGGTGATTGTGTAATTTGATTTTTTGACCCGTGCCAGCTGAGCCAATAGGATCGCAGTTATTTTTCATCAGAAAAGTTGAAGATTGATTTCAGCGTATTGTTGAGATTATGAGGGATCCGATGATATAAAAATCCACCAACCTACACTAATCATAATGAAGATAATTACCCTTTACGAAAATTGGAATATATCGTTTATTTTAGCGATGATTACAGAATCACCCTAACGGGAGCTATATATTTTACATATTCACCCCAACTGGGGCGAATCTGTAAAAGTTGCGGGCGGTTCTGTGAATTCTTTGGAAGATCGTTATTTTTTGAAGATTTTTCACAGGTAGATAACTAAGAGTCTCAATTACATGACTGCACAAACCACACACAAAAATCTTCAAAATTAAAGAAGTTCTTTGATAAATACTGAAGAGCTCGATACATAATCGCCCCACTTCACTCTATAGTCAAAGACGAACTCGTCTGTGAATAGACGTTTAGTTCAACTCTGGCTGTTCAACTCATCAAGTTCAACTCCTCTATATGAAAATATCAGATAAACAATACTCATGAGTATTTTACCAAAAGCTAAATGTGTACTCAACAATATCCAAGCATGAGTATTCAAAGTCGTACCCACAGTACTCGTTACTCACTCATGAATGCTCAGTGAGTAAAAAAATGTATAAGTATCCATGAGTACTTATACATTCGGGATATTTTTTAGCAGAGTACGACTTTGACTACTCACACTTGAGTACATTCACTAGGATAACGTCACCATATCTTTTTGCTAAGTGTTAAACACGGTTGGAAAGATTTTTCTGTCAAATTAACCCTTTGAGTGCCACTGCTCGATCACGATAGCTAAGGACTTCTAATTTTGTGCAGTCGTAGCTCTTACCGAATGTTGGTCACCCACCAAGTTTAGGCTTCTTTTACTAGATGGTTCATGAGATGTAAGCGTTTCATTTCTTTTCCGT